GCTCCCTCTATAAAACCCAAACACTTCCCCTTCCAGGCGTGGGAGCCGGCCTGGGAGCTCCCGCCAAAGGCCCCAGACCCCGGACGTGGCCGGTGGTGGGTACTCATCGCCAGAGCTGGTGATCACGTGTGGCTTGTAAACAGACCAACATCAAGTGTCTCTGTGCCAGGAGCTGCGCCAGTGTAGAGACAGAGTGCCCTCAGGATGGGAGCTGAGGGACACAGGGCGGGGAGGCACCGCTGAACAGGGGTCACATGCATAGCCAAGGACAGAGCCGCCTGATGACCACCTATCAAGCAGGGAGGCTGCAGAGCAGGGCAAGACTTCAAGGAGCCAAGGCTCCTTGGCCTTCAAACTCCTCTCCTGCTCCTGCCCGGTCCCCACCAAGCTCTGTCCCCCAGGCCACCACAGATGCCCCAGGGTAACCTGGCATTTAGCTAAGTACAAGGGGGCTTCGGGAGACCCGAGGGGAGATCCTGTTGTCTTTTGATTTCATTTTCCACTGACTTTCCGGAGTCCTCCCTCCTCTCACTGTTGTGAGCTGAGCTGGCCCACGGGACCCATGGTCAGGCCATTGGGATGCTCACTGGCTGGTTTCTTCCTAGTTTGTCTCGGTCTAAAAGTTCCACTAAAACCCACGCAGCACTCTAGCCACACACAGGTGCCAACTGACCTACAACCAAGACGGTCGTGTTCAACCCCGGCTGGGAACTTTACCCTGTCCGTGCATCCCGCCAAGGCGTGGGCGAGCGGGCACATGGGGTGTTTTCTGCGAGCTACGGAATTCCTCCCTAAAGCCCAGCATTATTGCAACAGAAGCAAGAAGAAGCAAGGGGACGCCATGGCCCTCCGTGGGCACCCCAAGGCGGGACTGCTTGGGAATGCTGCCCGGCCAGGGTGTGGACCCCACCATACCTGCGTGGGCACCTCCCCCAAGTCAGCTCCTCCTGTAAATTCGCACAGCCGGCTGTGGTCTTGGTGTGCTCCAGCAACGGGGTTACAGAAGGGGTGGCGGGGAGCGCTCTGTATTCATCGGAAGAGGCGGTTTGGTGCGTCCCCCGATGAGGAAAGGAAGGGTAGCAGAAGGCGCCGGCTGCCCGTTTGGTCTTTCCAGCAGCCTGCTTCTCCCTGCCTGACAGGGGGTACCGGGAATTTGCCACTCCATTCCAACTCCTAACTAAACAGGCACTAAAACATTTAAGCCCGGAACCCAGCACCAGTGACAGGCAACACAAAGGGCAGAGGAGCGTCAGGGACTGCCCCGGAGCAGAGGGACGGCACCGACACTGACAGCAGCCCCGACAGGGTCAGGGGGACGTCAGCCCTGAAGCTGCACCTGGCCACGGGGCACCCCTTCCCATGCTCCCCACCTGGCTCTGCAATCCAGTGTGTTCTAGAAGGTTCCCCAAGAAGCCCAGAGCGGAGCCAGCCCCTGTGGTTGAAGCAGGTGCTCTGAGCTGGCGGAATCCCACCTGGAACACTTCCTCCCTGTTGGCCCTCCTTTCTCCAGGGTCCACGGGGGGCAGAGACCCACACGCCCGACACGGTAGGTGCTTGGGGTGGAAGAGTGGAAGCAGGAGCGGGTGTGAGCGTCCAGACCTTGACCTCTCTGGGTTCCTCTGTAGTGGGCAGAGGAGCCCCCAGAAGTTGGCGGAGGGGTCGGTTCAAGAGTGGACACACGTCACCCGGGCACGAACATTTTCCTGTCAACGGCCGTTTGGATGTTTACCACGCTTGTCATTCTCAGGCCACACTAGTCAGACACTTAAATGAACACCACACACACACACACACACACACACACACACACACACACCGACCACCACCGCTGTGCTGGCTAGAACTGCTTCCTTTGGGAGGGCGTGCCATGGCCCCCGGCCTGACACAGCTGAGGACAAGCCAGAGTGAAGACCACTGAAAGGACACGGGACGTGACCAGCACGGAGAAGACTGAAAGCCCTGTGGACGGCCAGGAGAGGACAGCTGTCTCGGAAGAAGACCCATGCCCAGAATGCTCCCTCGAGGCAAGGGCTGAGAGACGTCGGCGCATGTACGGCGGACATGTCATCAGGAGAGCCCCGGCCCCGGAGAAGGGAATCGTGCTTGGTAAATTGGCAGGGCGGCGGCAACAGAGGAAGGCCCTCTACGAGATGGACTGGCACGGTGGCCGCGTCGACGGGCTCACAGTTAAGCAGGATCGTGAGGACAGAGCAGGACTGGGGGGGTGTTTCATTCTGAGAGGACCGCCATGCCCCGGAGCTGAGTGGAGGGCACTCAGCCACCACCACAGCGGCGTGAGCCAGCCCTTCCCCAGCTCCAAGTGAGCTCCAGCTCAGAGCCACTCCACAGCACAGAGCTCAACTGCCCCACACGCTCTCCAGGGTCCTAAAGCCTTACAGACGACAACGCGGGTGGGCTCCAAGGCTCCCACGGTCTTTTTGTGAGCAGCCCGGCTCCTGACCGCGGGACCCCTAGGACAGCCCTGGGACAAAAGCACCGCTGGTGTCCCAGACCCAGACCCAGGGAAGTTCCCAAGGAAAACCCCAAGTCCCGCCCACCGAATGGATTCCCACTCAAAGTGGGCCTATAGGACAGAGTGGAATCGCCCCTGCGGGTTTGCGAGACTGCAACTCTTTAGGGGACCAGAAAGCCTCGTCTCTCTGCCACAGAGCGGCTGGTGGTTTCAAACCGCTGACCCCGTGGCCAGCAGCCCAACCACTACGAACGAACGCAGAGAAGGAAGAGCCCTCATGATGGCGCTGGTGAGCAGGAAGGGAGCGTACACCAGGAACTCCACACCAGGCCATCGAGCCGGTTCCACCTCACAACCACACTCTAGGACAGAGCAGAACTGCTGTGTGGGAATTCGAGACTCTCAATCTCATGGGAGGAGAAAGCCCTGTCTCTCTCCCACGGCGCAGCTGGTAGTTTCAAACTGCTGACCTTGTGGTCACCACCACACCACAGGGCTCGGGGACTGCCCAAAGAGCAAGCAAGTGAATCTTAGACGAAATAATAAGCCAGAGGCCCTGAGGTGGCCACTGGCTCACCTTGGACACACCCTCAGTGAAGACAACCTCTGGAGAAAGCCATCAGACTTGGTGACCCAGGGGGACAGGTCTCAGAGGCACCCGAGATGACCCAAGGTGACCCCAGAACCCTCTGCATGGTCAGAGGGAGTTGGCCCTGAGGGGGGAGCCCACTCCAACAGCAGCAGTGGGCAGAGGACACGTGTGAAGACACCAAGAGGCATGGTCCCCTCCGTGCCCCCTGGACTTGGACAAGAAGCCCTGGTAGTACGGAGATTAAGTGCTCGGCGGCTTACCGGAAGATCTGGACCTCGAGCCCACCAGCCGCCCCATCCTCGGGAGGACGTGGCTGGCTGCATCAGTACAGAGTCCAGCCCTGGCATGCCTGGGGGCAGTTCCTCCCCCAGCGGGTGAGGATTAGGGTTTGCTTGGCTCTCAGACAGCAGTGGTGTGGCAGAAGCAGAGGGTTGTCGGTAGAGGCACCCCAAAGACAAAGCTCAGCCTTGCCACCTTGGCCCAGAACTCAGCACCCCTGCAAACAGGGGTGCTGGCAGCCGAGCAGTCCCCCACTTGGAGGCTGCGCAGAGCTCATGCCAGCACGGGGTTAAGCAGAGGCAGGCAGCCTCTGCCAAGAAGATCAGGTTTCTGCTCTGCACAACTTGACCCAGGCCATCAAACACACGCAGGCTGATCTCGGCCCGGTGGCTGCAGGGTTGCAGCACTAATTACAGGAAGCCCCCACACACACATACCCCAAGCGGCCTGCGTCCCGGACACCCACCCAGAGCAGCCTCACACGGGGGCTTCTCCAGCCTCGTGGGGGGCCTCAGGGCCCTTAGGCCCGGGGCCAGGGGGCTCATTGTGGGGTCAGTTTACAGGGCAAGCTCAGTCTGTGCTTTGGGTTTTCAAGGCAGAAGAATCCAACCTCTGCCCTCCCTGGCAGCCAGACCTCATGACATCACTGGCCTTGGGGCCCCTCAGCCCTGGAGCAGGGCCCACTGAAGGGGCAGTCCCTTGAGACAGCTCCACTAGCGGAAGGGGCCGAAGTGAGGAGCAGAAATCTGACCAAGTAGTGTCCTTTTCTAGATGGTGTCCAGGGGAGCTGCCCAGAGCCAGTGACGCCGCCCCGCCTATTGGGCTCTGCTTCTCTCACCCCGCTAGCACCACCCACTCATGCGTGGGCGTCAGCACCCTGAGGAGGCAACACTGCGGGGGCCCGGGCACAGCCCTCCATGGCAGCGTCCCCGGCCCCCCACTCAATCCCAGCAGTCTTCTTGGTGTGGGTTTTGGAGGTGGGAGGGGCAGGCAGCCACGAGCAGTGACAGCGACAGTCTCTGTCTACCCTTCGGTTGAATGGGCAGGCAGGGGGCCCACCCAGAGCCAGGCTGCACCCCAGGAGGCACCTGGAACCAGTGTCCACGCCCCCACCCCCCACACTCCCTGACACATTTCACCCCTTCCTGAGACAGACGCTCCAAGGCGCCTTTTGATTTTGGAGCCCACCCACCCCCACCCCCATCTACGTTCACAGGCCACACACACCCCCAGAGACCCGGCCACTTGGCCAACTCCAGAGCTGCGCACTCACAGACAGCCCAGGAACCTTCTAGTCCAGGAGGCCGGGGAGGAGGTCCCCCCCACCCCACGGAGAAGACAACCTCAGATGTTAAGCGTTATCCAATTAAGCGTTAGCTAAACAGCCCAGAGAGGGAGCTGGGTGGCTGGGGAAGCTATGCTGGGATGAGGCTCACATCATGGTGGGAGGGCTGATTTACAGCTCTGCTAAGGGACTTGGCCATGCTCCCTGGAGCCCCCCCCCCAAAAAGCACCTTTCTGACCGGGGCTTGCACTGCACCCAGGGTCCCGGCCTTGACCCAGGCCGGCTAGGAGGAGCCCGTGGCAGAGTGGCAGCCAGGTACCGGCCCCCCGCCATCCCGGGAGCCCACCCCCCACCGAGGCGGCGTCTGTTACCTGACAACTGACACTGGCATCCAAAGGGGGCCGGAGCCTCCGTCTGACCCTCACCCTGAGTGCCGTCCCCCGAGAGCGGGCGCCCACCGCAGCACGGCAGGGCCAGGCAGGGCGGGAGGGCGCCCAGCGCGCGCAGCGGCGGTGTGATCACAGATGTGTGAGGGTAGGAGGACGCAGCGATGGGGGCCATCGCTGGCAGCTGGGCAGGCCTGCACGGCCCTGGAGAGAAAACAATAGAAAAGACTGGTCAGTCGGGCCCTGGACTGGACGGGGTGGGGCGGGGCGGGGCCCGGGCTCACTCAGGGACAGGGTGGAGGGTGGGGTGCTACTTCCACAGCTGCCAGGGGGCTGTCTTGGGGCCAGGACCCCCACCCAGGAGAGACCTAAGCAGGCATGGGCACATAGGCCCTGTCGGGGGCCCCCATCTCCCAGGTAGGGCCCCCCACGCAGGGGCTCTGGGAGGCTCTAGAACAGCCCCCAGTGAGGGTTGGGACCTCAGAAGACGGGGTGACCCTCTTATTCTCAGAGAAGGGAGCTACCACTGCTGGCCCCACCGGACAGTCATTGGTCCAGAGGCCAAACCTCCGTTAGCTGGGCAGCTGGCCACTGCTGAAGCTAGAGCGCTCACAGTCCTCTGTGACCCAAGCACCAAGACCACCGCACCGTCCCAGCGATGCCCCCCCCCCCCCAAAGCCCCAGCAGTGCACAGTAAGTACCCCTCGGAGCATCTAGGTGGGGCTCAGGGTGCCTCTGCTGGCTGGTGACACACACGTGCACCCGGGAGCCCCGGGGCCACCTTGCCTCTGCCTGGCCCCCCACCCCTGCCACCACCACCCCAGCTCCCCAGGCTTCCCAGAAAGGTCTGCACTTGATTTGGGCACTTATCTTACGTGGTGAGGAGACCACCAGGGCAAAACTTCCCCCTGACACCCTTGAAACCACATGTGAAGAAGCCCGAATTCCTTCCCTGGATCTGCAGCTGAGCAGGGACGCGTCAGGCGGAACAGAAAGAAAGCAGAAGGTGGCGGGAGGCGTGGAGGGCCGAGTGGCCTGCTGCCCTGCAGTCCAGTGGGGCCCAGGACCCATGAATAGTCTCAGCCTCAGGTGCCAAGCAGAAGACCAAGCCCCAGTGTCATGCAGGCCCCAGCAAGCCTGCCCTTGCCACCAGGAATCCCCCAGCACTGGCCTGTGTGCAGCCCTGTCCAGCGAGCCTGGTCGGTCCAGACTACCCTGTCACTTACTCAGCAACGCCCACGAGCCCCACCCCCCAGGGAGCCCCTGAAGTTTCCCACACCGCTGTGCGGCTGGGCCTGGACAAGGCAGAGATCCGAGGGCTCAGTCCTGCCAGGTGCCAGGAGAGCCCACAGACCGTCAAAACCAGGCTTGAGCTCAGAGCCCTGGTGTGACCACACCACCCAGCCTCTGCCGTGGACCCTGACTGAGCCCCGCCCAGGAGCCCCTGTCAAGCCCCAGAGCAATTTTCCCAAAGATAGAGGGAGCTTCATGGGGGCTTCTTGGGCAAGCGGGAGAGGGAGATAATCCTTCTGGAAAGACCCAGAATGTGTCCAGACAAACCACCCACAACACAAGGCTCTGCAGCTCAGCACCTGCCCCCAGACTCTGGCGGGGTGGGGTAGGGGCAGAGGGCTTCCACAAGGCCACGTGATGAACGCAGGCCTCCCGGGAGCCCATCAGCCCAGGGCCAGCAGAGAAGTGAGGGCAGCCAGTAGAAGGAATGGCCTCTGGCCCCAGCTGCCCAGCCCCCCTCCCTTGAAGCAGCTGGGACCCTAAGTTCTGCCCAAAGGCAGGGGCCCAGGCACCCTCTTCTACTGCCATCGTAAGAGCCAATGAGAAAGAAGCCAGCCCCAAAGACCCATCGGCGTGGTCCCTTTCCCTGACCTGCCCAGAGCCCGTCCCAGACAGTCTGGGAAACCTCAGAGAGGGGCCCTATAGCCCAGAAGACTGGGGAGCCCTGGTGACGTAGTGAGTTGGTCAGCGTTTCAAAACCAACAGCCGCTCCACAGGAGAAAAATGAGGCTCTCTGCTCCCATGAAGACTTAGTCTCCAAAGCCTATGGGGGCAGTTCTACCCTGTCCTCCGGGCTCGATCTGAGTCGGCATCGATCGGTAGCAGTGAGTTTGGGTCTGAGAGGGGCTGGGTTGGGTTTAAATATACGCTTCTTAGTGGTTGCCAGGAGGCGTGGGATGTGAGGCTGATGGGCCTGGGGTCTCTTATTAGGGCGATGGCCAACCACCACTTGAGGGGGAGGCTGGTGGTTCACTCTGGTTCCCCCACTCCCGTCCTACCCCACACACACACACCTTTGTGGGGACCCCTGTCCCCCAGAGTGTCCCACCCACAAAGAGTGAAGTGGTCGAACTGTGACAACCCCATCCAAGACAGAAACCTCGTGAGGTGGATGAGGAGGAAGGAGGGCTGTCGGCTGGGTTCTGGCTCAGATGGACTTCGCTGCCCTAAAAGCCACAGGCCTGTCCACCTTTCTTTCAGTGTACAGTCAGGAAATGCAGGAATCCCAGAGGACAGCCACAGCCTGAACACACCACACACTTCCGGCAAGGAGGGTGCCCGGGGAGAGGAAGCCCCTGCCCCACTGCTGCTTCCTTGCCCCAGGAGGCAAGAGGGAAGGGAGTCTGTTTGTCTGTTGCTCCATCCCTCGTCTTTAACCCCCTGACACCACAGATGGAGGCTGTGGGTAGGGGTGCTTGCTGGACACCCAGTCAGGCCTGTCCAGCTGGGGGTTCAGCCTAAAGTGGGATGCAGGGGCTGGACAAAAGCACCCCTGGCCCCTCACCCCGGTTGGGGACACTAGAGGTTCAATGATGTAATCCTTGCTTTCTGCATGGGAGACCTGGGTTCAAATCCTGGCCAATGCGCATCATATGTAGCCACCACTGCCGGAGCTTGTGCGAGGAGCCTGGTAGGTTGCTAGGTTGCCGAACAGGTTTTCCCAGCACTTCTACTCTAAGGACTGGGAAGGAAGGGCTGGCGATCTGCTGATTAAAACCCCATGGCCACTGTGCCCAGGGGGCAATCATTGGGGACCAAACCCCAATCTGCTGCCTGGGTGGGTCGATGCAGACTCCCAGCCAGGCTGTAGGGCTGAGCAGAACTGCCCCAGTGGGTTTCCAAGGCCGTCCATCTTTCTCCAAGGAGCAGCTGGTGGGTTCCGACCGCCCACTGGCTTCTGGGTTAGCTGCGAAGGGCTTGTAACCCTGCACCACCAGGCTTTGTTCCTGCCTTAGCACTGTTCCTAAGGGGACCTCCTCACAAGGGAGCTTCGAGGGGTGGGGAAAGCTGCACTCACCAGACCTCCTGGTTGAGTGGGACAGGGGTCGGCCTCAGGTGCACCAAACAAGGGGAAGAAAAGTCAGCGCGGAAAGCCCAGGGCGACCTGCTGGCGCCTTGGATGGGCGCTCTGCAGAAAGATGAGGCTGACTGGCTGCTGCTGTACTGATTTGCGGGGTTGGAAGCCCCAAGGGGCAGTTTCACTTTGCCCCTGGAGGGTCCATGGAAAGCCCAGGGCGACCTGCTGGCGCCTTGGATGGGCGCTCTGCAGAAAGATGAGGCTGACTGGCTGCTGCTGTACTGATTTGCGGGGTTGGAAGCCCCAAGGGGCAGTTTCACTTTGCCCCTGGAGGGTCCATAGGAGTGAGAAACTGACTTGGCAGGAAAGGCTTGGGATGCTCTCGGTGGGTGACAGGGCAGGCTCTGCTGGCGCCAAGGTGAGAGGTCTGACCTCACCAAGGCTCTCCCCGGAAGAGAGAGGTCTGCTCCCATAAAGACTGCAGCCTTGGGGGCTGTGGGGCAGTTGGACGCCGTCCCACAGCATGGCTTTGCGGCAGAACTGCAACAAATAAAGCACCTGCCCCCAGCTCCACCGCGTGGTGAGCCTTAGCATCCCACCAGGGTCCGAACCGGCTCCGCTCCCAGCCAGGCCCTCCACGTGGGGCCGCCGCCGCCCTCCGCACGCATGCGC